GGCGTTCGCAGCACCGACAACGTCGTCCTCGGCATCGAGAAGAAATCCACCGCCAAACTCCAAGACTCTAGGTAAATAACCGAAGACCTAGGGTTCCCCTCCGGGACCTAGGGTTAGGGTTCCTCTGATCCATTCTCCAATTTCCGATCCAGATCGGTTCGCAAGATCATCAGCCTTGGTGGCCACATCGCCCTCGCCTGCGCTGGTCTCAAGGCCGATGCTAGGGTTTTGATCAATCGAGCGAGGATCGAGTGCCAGAGCCATAAGCTGACGGTGGAGGATCCGGTGGTCACCGTCGAGTACGTTAATTACTAGGTATATTGCTGGAATGCAACAGAAGTATACGCAGAGCGGTGGGGTCCGGCCGTTCGGGCTGTCGACGTTGATTGTGGGCTTTGATCCGTACACTGGGGTGCCCGCGCCGTACCAGACGGATCCATCGGGGACTTTCTCGGCGTGGAAGGCTAATGCTACTGGGAGGAACTCGAATTCGATGAGGGAGTTCTTGGAGAAGAACTATAAGGAGGTGGCGGGGAGGGAGACGGCGAAGCTTGCCATCAGGGCTTTGCTTGAGGTCAGTTTTCTTTTGTTGTTGTAGTTGGTGGAGTTTCTGTTTGATTGGGCGGTGATTCTAATGGAAATGTAGAGTTTTTGCTGTGTTTTTGGTAGATTTAAGCATTTGTCAGGAGTTGTTAGAGGTCAACTCCGCACGCACCTGATGGATAGCGCTTGCACGCTCCAGTGCCCAAACAGAGTTCTCTCTGGTATTTGTACTAAGGGGGTTGTATACTTAGGAGGACTCTCTTTGCAACACACATAATATTATGTGATCCCTCAACAACACATTCTTGACAATGCAATGACACCATGTGGCACCTGGTATCACGAATACAAATAACATAGAGATAAGTTATTTTGGACAGCAGGGGATCTATTGCTAAAAAATAGTTTAGATGTTGTAAGCAGTTTTTAGCCACTAGGACAGGAGTATATCATTATGAATCTGCGATTCATCCTTTAATAGGTAATGTTTGACGATGCGACTGAAGTTGTTGGACCTTACTTTGTTGTACATTGTAGATAGAGATTAGCCATTTATGACCGGTTCTGATTTCAAATATGGGAATTTGCATATGATGGAACTGGAAGAAGATTCTAAGAATTGAGCTTTTTTGTTAACCCTTATGGTGTTGAGGAGTGAGGGATTGAAATGGAAGTGTAGTTAGGAAACTGGTTTCTTTTATTTTATTTTTTTTAATTGCCAAAATAAAGCGCGGCGAGCCTACTTAGAGGTAGCAAAAGACAAAGAAAGTGAGTTTATTCTTTGGATTAATTGTTGTTTTGTAGAGTTTGTTGCTTGATCGAGAGCCATGCTCATAGGATAAATTTCTTTTTCCTTTGTAAACATCCGGTCCTATGGGTAAGCTCCCCACTGCCTTTGAGACAAATTTTGGTAGCCTAGCTGTGAGTATCATGAGGTCGGAAGGACAACTTCCAACACTTCCATGACTTAATTATGAAAGAGGATGCATGTTATGTATACTCAAAAGCAGGCAAATTAAGACCTAAAAATAGCCTAGTCTTTCAACCAAGAATGAAGTCTGCTTTTGAGAATGGAGGAACTGTTTGTTGATACTAAATATCTTGGACTGACAAGGAAAAATGAAGTCTGCTTTTGAGGATGATGGAGGAACTGTTTGTTGATACTAAGTATCTCGACTGACAAGGAAAAGAGCATGGCTCATTTCCTGCAATGAGTATTTAGGAGAACCTATGTGAAAAAGAGAGCGAAAATGAGTTTTTTATGAGCAGGGTTTGTGCAATAATACCAGGTTCCGTAGATTCTAAATAAACTACCTGAACTTGGTCAATAACAAAAAGTACAGAAACTTGTAAGAACTTCAAAAAAAAAGAGCATAACTATTAGCGTAATATCTTGTTGATCATTAGGAAAATAAAATATACGGGAGAAAGGCGTAACAGCAATAGCATCTGCATGGTGTCAAAGTTGCCAAGTGGATTACTGGATTATATAAGCCAAGTGGATTATAATCCAAGGTTGCCAAACATGCTTTATATAGAACATAAAGTTTGTGGTAGAGAGAAAATTCGAGGGAGGATAAGTGGAATAAGTGGTCAAGGGACTAGCTTATTTGTTTTGCGTTGGAGCAGTGAGTACATAATGAAAGTGCATAGTAGTTTTCTGAAGTAAAAATTAAAAAAAAAAACACGGAGTTTATGGTAATTCCTTGAAATTTACCCTCTTTTAACAAAAGTTCATCCCGGTTTTCCACAAAAAACTTATGGTAATTTCTTAAGAAGATAGAAAGGTTTAGCTTTCTATAATTTAGCCAAAATACTTATGGTAAACTGTGTGTTAGGAGATAGTATCCAGTTCTGTTAGTTACCACGCATACTGAGGGTTCATATCCTTTTTGTCCTTTATTGTGGTTTATTGACAGACTGTAGGATTTTGAATCTTTGATGCATTACATATCCACCATCTTTTACAGGTTGTGGAGAGTGGGGGGAAGAACATTGAAATTGCAGCGATGACAAAAGATGAAGGTCTCAAACAACTCGAGGAAGCTGAGATCGATGCCATTGTTGCAGAAATAGAGGCGGAGAAAGCTGCTGCTGAGGCTGCAAAGAAGGCTCCTAAAGAAAAATGTGATTCTAGGTAAGCTCAGCATATATTAAATTTCTTTTTCATATCTTGCCTATTTACAGTTGTGGATATGTACCTTCTCTATAGTTACTTGATTTAATTTTCTGATAAAAAGAGATATCTGGCCTTCAGCTTGATACTGCTGTATTTGTACCTGTTAATAGAGTTTTAGAGTTCATTTGCTGGACTTAGAAGGAAGTCATGCTTAGTGTTTCGAACACGCGTGTAGATGGGTAATCCACTGATTAATGATGAACGGATTTTACTAATATATTAAGCTTTCTTCAGCTACAGACTTACAAGAAAAGGATTTGTTTTTCCTCCCAAAAAGCAAAAAGACCGAACCTCAGGTCGTAACATGGAGCGGTTCCAAAGGAATGATGTTTGAGTTATACTCATCAATCTATCCAGTTTATATAGAAACCACGTTTCAAATGGATTCCAATTGTGATCAGCTACATTAACATATTTTCCAGTAAATTTTTGACCAAAGCTCCCAAAATATCCTTAAAACACTCGTGCCAGCCACAAGGTTTGGTTTAAGAAGGCATATCACATGGCGTGTGTTCTTTAAGGGTACTATGGGAATTTTGCAGCACTTTTTTAAGCCCAAAAATACAACCATCAGGGGATTATTCTCCACTTGATTTCTCAAGATCCTATATATGAAATAAAAGAACATCATTGAAGACATTTCACTTGTCCATAACTGGGCTCCCATAAAGTTGGGACGCAAATAATTTTCATTTTGAGCACTTCTTTGAAACCATGTTTTTTTTTAGAACTTTTTGAATCCAAGTGTCGGAACAAGCTAACGACCTTTTTAGATGGTAATGCTGCTGGGTGTAAAAGAACTTGCAGCATAAAAGACACTACAAGCTATCAGGACTTCCGACTGAACAAAGAATAACTTCAAATACAGACCAAAGCCAAAAAGTCCAAGATGAACATAAATATTTCTATGGATTGCGGGTCCTCAATTCTTCCATTTCAGTCGTGAGAGCTTAAATCACTGTACCCCAATTAAGCAGTGAAGTGCGCAGACCAATTACTCAACTTCAGCCAAATAATCATCAATCTCAGCAGGTGTCAATACCCTACAGAATGGATAAAAAAAGAATAAATTAAAGTAGAATAAATTAAAGTTTATGATAAAGTATAGGGTTATTGCATATATATCCCTTACATCAAGCGTATTTGCAAAAATACCCCTCAAATCTCAGTATTTGCAGAACTATCCCTCAAATCATCAATTTTGGAAATCACCACCGTTGATAAGCTAATTTGTAATCGCAATGTAAAATTTATCAACAAAACAATCAAAATTTGCGCACCAAGATGATTTTAGGGGTATTTTTTTACATAAAGTTGATCATTTGAGGGGTAGTTTTGTAAATACTAAGACTTGGGGGTATTTTTTGCAAATAACCATGATTTAAGGTGTATAGATACAAAGAACCCTAAATTATATCTTATTTGCAAGTAAAGTAAAAAAAACAAAGTTATTGTCATAGCATATCCACAACAAAACAATTAAACTAATCATAACAAAATCATAAGGATTCTCTTCAGGTGATCATCAGTATTGTGGGCCATGTTCATATACGAAGTTATTGCAACTAATGTCCAATTAGATTATGTTCTAGGGACCGACATCCTAAAAACCAAGTATAGGCTACACAATGATATCATATACGAAGTTTAAGCAAGTTGATCCAACCTAATCATTCTTGATTGATACTATATACTATATAGGATGGCTAATAATGACTGTCATAGTTCAATAGTGACTACCAACAACCAGTATACGAGAAGATCTAAAGATAAAGTATCAAAAGTTGATTTGAGAATTTTATACTAGAAAAATGTTAAAAGAACTGATGATTCGGAAGTTTGTGATTAAGCTGACTTATTGCATTACTACAGGTATGTAATTGTGATTAAGCTGACTTATTGCATTATCTATACTTATAAAGGCAATTCAAAACTTAGAACAATATCAGGTTTTCCAAACTTCGCTAAAAACCGACCGAAATTGAAATAACTATTATTATTTCCGAATTTACTGATAAAGCTACTTTTCACAAATCTATTCAAGTTTAAAAAAAAATCACCATCTGTTTGAGCAGGAGTGACAGCTGCTATTCTCAGAAGCTACATCCACGAATTCTAAAGAGCTGTTTTACAATTCAAACAAGTTCAACTATAGATAGATTATATATGGTTTGTAAATCGGATAGATTCATGAAAGTCAAAGGACTAATTCAATATATAGTTTATAGAAGGTAAGGAGACCCTGAACTTGTAAGATATTGGTTAATGGACGTGCTGCCCCAAGGGCTACATGCCTCCAAATTCTTGGTCCACCAAGGAGCTCTACAAAAACAGCCCAAATTATCCTCAACGACCAATACCTCCCCAGAGGTTATGCGGTGCCCAAAAAAATTGCCTTCTAGCAGCAACACAGGTCCAGATTGTTGCAGCTAATATACAATGTCCATTTAAAATTTTCAAACTTCCGATCTACATCTACATCGAATGTTGTGTTAAAGATCAATTAAAGATCAACTTTTGTCCATACCATTTTTCAGACTCAAAAAGTTGGGTCAGAAACAGTTTTCTATTTATTGATACAACAATAATTCAAGTGGCTAACCAGGTGTAAAAATAGTTATGACCAGACTAAGCGGAGCGTTGAATAAAAATTTTCATGTCAAATCTAGGTTGAATGCTCTAGGGCACACATACTGATCAAGATCTACAACTTTTGTAGAACTTTTCAAATTTAAAGATTTGGATCAAAAAGTGCTCACGAGCACCTATTTTGTATCGTAACGGCTCAAGCATGGGACAACAATCCTGCAAGAACTAAAGACAACCCTTGCATAAATCCTGTAAGGTACGAGGAGAGGAAGACCTTGCAAACTTTATTTGGAGGTTTAACAAGATGCAGCAGATCAGTATAACTCTAAACAGTATATCCATCCTGAGTGAAGAAAAAGACAATAGACCAAACCTGAATTTCCTATCAGCACCAATGATTCCAATTTCAATGTTCTTGGCTGAAATTTGCCCTTCAAACCTAAATAATTGCAACATAAATTTAGTGGTGTTACAGCACAAACACCAAGTAATTCAAGGAAGCAGATAAGTACCCTTCTTTTAAAGTCAATATTGCAGTGTGGACTGCATCATCAAGCTCCATATCATCAGTGTATCTACAAGTAGAAGGATTGTCATTTTTCATTATCAAACATGGAAATCTTTGTCCTTCAGAATGCATATTACAAAATAGGGGTCAACAGCAGAATGGACGACAAGTAAAATAACTTTAGATACAATTGAACATTTCATCAGCATACTGAAAGATGTGCTTGGTTATACTAGTACCAAAAAAGGTAATGATCAACCCAAGGCAAGTAATGCCATAGAAAATTCATGTAGCAAATTGAAGAACAATAGGGCATTACCGACATGCTCAAGACAATTAAATGATCTGATTTGCCCAACTAATTAAATATGTAATACAACTGGTAGTCTGGTGCAATATAAACATTGAGACAGGTGCACTTGAGGTGCCTGGGCAGGCACAAACCCTGTGTACCTGACATCTAACTAGCCAGAAACTCAGATTTGATGTTTTCTAAGTTGAACAACCACTTCTCAAAATAAAACCATATAATCAATTAGAAATTGCATTTGCGATGTATAAGTAGTTTGATTAACTTTGTTTTGCAGATAACAAGGTAAGAATATGAAATACTGACTGTAGGGACTCTATCTAATCCTAAGTCAAGAAGAGAAAAAATGTTAAATAGAAATTATAACATATATGAGACTTCAATAAAAAAAAATTGGTTTGTTCCACACATCTAAACGTAATATGACCATCCATTGTCGAAACTTAGAATCTTTTGAATTGCAATTTACTTCAAAAAATATGTATGAGATGGACTAAATTGTGCTCCTTTTGACAAAATTAATTACAGATCATTTTACTAGAACTAGGTTCTTCGTATATGAATAGCAATAAATACACTAGTTATAATATCAGTTAAATATGTACATATTTTGATGAATTGTACTGAATACGTGTAAAGCTGCGTTCCCTTATCTAGATATTGAACAATTGCCTTATCTGACACTCTATGTCCGTCTAGGAGCACAATCCTCACTCTTTTTCTAAATCTCTCCCTCTTTTTTTTCCAGCCATCAATTTGCTTTTTCTACAAGCCATAACTATTTATTTAAACCCAAACATCAACCTTCACATGTAAAGCGCTTGCCCAACACAAACAGACTACTCCAAAATCACAACTTTGTATTAAGTACTGGAACGATTCCAATGGATCAACAGAAGCCAAACTTGACTACATAGACAAACAATATTATAAATCCACAAGGTTTGGAAAAAAGACATGTGAAAAACTTTTTAGCTGACTTTAAGAGATCAAAAAATTAGAAAACATCTGAGACTTTTTTATTACCTCTTCTCAAGAAATGTCTTTGCATTAGAGACATTTTTCCCCATGGCCGAAGCTTTCCAAGAGAAGTAAGAACCAGATGGGTCAACCTATAAAAACATAAGTTAGAGATGGTGGTTCATTTTGTAGCTTCAAAATCTAACATATAGGCAAACAGTCAAATAAGAGAAAAGTACTGGAGCCAATTGGTTATCAAAGTACAATTATCAACATATATTTGTCACAACAGAAAATGGAATTTAAATAAAATAAATGTGAAGATCGATGCCTGTAGGCATTTAGTAGAATAATACAAAAATGTCTATTGAGAAACTGGACTGGTTATAGTACAGTTGCAGTTCTTAAATGCTGAAGAATATGCAAGGGAACGACCAGAAACAAAGGGGGGGAACTGATATTTGTCTCAGACTATGTCAATGACTCTTAGATGTCATGAAACAGAAAAAGGCAGTGTGCTATACCTGAAATAATTGTGGACCATTATCATCATACCCAGCTATCAGCAAAGAAACTCCAAAAGGCCTTACTCCACTGAAATAGGCAATCCATTCAGAAAAAACATTAGGAATTGGGTCCAAATAAGAAACCAAGAGGAAATTAAGGCATGGCCATTTGTCCTGTAAGGCATTACTTAGAAACATTATTCAAACAAGAATAGTATAAATAAGTTGAGCTTGAGACCAAACAAGATTCTAGAGATTGTCTAAAATAAAGAATGTTCGGGAGAAGATTAAAATTGCTGATGGCAAAATGAAACAGGAAGATTCATAATGACAATTCCTGCAAGGCTGCAAATATCATTAGACTTTATGTTCTCATAAGTAAGTAATCGAAGGGAAACTTTGCAAGCAAGCGGACATACTATCACAAATTAAAATTATCGAATATGAAAGTCGTAGTAGTTAAATATCATTAAAGACAAAAGCGACCAGTAACCTTTAGCAGATATTGACTAATATGTCTCAACAAGTAGAGTTAGCAAAACCTTTTTCAAGTAGCTTTAATTCACTTTTATAATCAATCGGAACAAGTCACTATCCAACTTATATAGTGAAGTATAGCAAACTAACAAAATCTTTTCAAATGTGTGTCCAAGTCAACCAACATCATTTTTAGTAATATATATCTCTAAATCAACTCTATACAGCGCATTTCCAGTGTCGAACACATCGAATTTGGATTGTTACGACTTTGACACTTCTATAATAGTGTTGGAATAGCTATACCTTACACCAATGTTACCTGGGTACTTCTATGATGAAGCCGTACCCATACCCAACACGTACCCATACCCAAACTTCATGGACACTCCTTGGGTATATACGTACATTTATTCACACTTCATGAACTCAATTATATGCTATGTGTTTCAATTTAAAACACTTGTTACACACTTCTTGGATGTATATCCTACACATCCATACTAGGAACTCGTTAGACATGGTTCGGGTTCATTTCAACCGATCCAAGTTCAAACTATAAATCATTTGAGCGTCTAGTTCAAAGATGAGTGATTTCCAATTTATAACAATCAACATAATAAAAGAAACTCAAAAATGTGATAGGAATTTTAATTGTGATAACACATAAATTGAAAAAACAATAAATCTTATGTGAATTATTTACTTCAATATGTATATGTAGTTGTTTCCCTGTACCCTACATTTACAAATTTGAAGCATGTTGTACCCGTACCCGTACCTGTGCCCGCACCCACAACAGTACCCGTTTCCATGCAACTTAGCCTTACACAATCTATGCAACCAACATACTTCACCTAGAAAACTGACTTGGTTAGACTGATATACTTTATGAAGAATGGCCGGTCTCAGAACCCCATTATTTTGTATTTGCAATGTATAAGTTATGAGTTTGCATTGCTTACTGGAGAAAGGAATGTGATTCTCTTTGATTCTGTCTAAATTGTTGCGTAAAATTGGCCGCAATTTCCTATAGCAGATAAATATCATTTTTATAGCCTCCAAACTTATTCATGTCAGACAATTGCAAGGTTGCTCCAAGGTTATATGGGCTTAAACTGCACTGCAGAAAAGTAGGTTCATGTTATGCCATCATAAAACAGGTATGACCCTCTCTTTGTCACAACTAGGAACTTGGCACCAAACTATTGAGGATTTTAGGATAGCATCAGGTTAACACTTAACAGACAGTGAAAGAAGTTGTGTAACTATTTCATCATGTTTATCCTTCTCTAAGTCGGACACCATGTTTGTAGAATACTTAAGATGCGGACAAGGATTATGATAAATTGATAATATTGGTAAAACATCATGTCGCACGAGGTCAAGTTTGCTTAACAGATTGCATTTAAGATCCTTTATTAATGAAAAGATGATGATAACCATACCCAGACTGAGTGAACTCCTGCATAACAGCTGCAGTTTCCCTTACAAGTTGTGTTACAGGAATTGGTTCCTGCATTCAGGTGACAATGATAACAATCAGATTTTCAGAGGGCAACGTATCTCCAACGAGATGCGTACTTAATGAAGCCTACACATTTGAAAATTCCAACAGTATACAGCTCAGAGTTAGAAGTGTAAACCATGCATGAGAAGCAATGAACATCATAAATATCAGGGTCCAAGTGTGATGATTAAATGCCACAGAAGTGCAGTTTCTATGCGTATAAAGAAACATGATATATTTTGTGAAAGAATAGTTGTCAAGGGGTGGTAATAAGATGGAACAGTAGTTGCAAATAATATCATCTCTTCCAATTCTACCACACAACTCCAGAAACTTGGCTCTTTGGCAATCATATTTCTACACAATAAAGTCGTAAAATACTATGCATCGGATCTGAACAAAATAAAATTTCATAAGGATGAGAACAATGTTAACCGATAGTTCCAGTAACAGAAAACGTAGCAAAAACACCAATCACAGAAGAAAATAGGTTAACCAACAATCCAGGAAGCGTGAAGACAAGATTATAGTTCCTACTGACCTCAAACAAACAATCTAAAGACAGCAAGATAATAAATGGTAACTTTAATTTAGTAATCACAGTGACCAAAGAAGGATGTAGCTAGGAGAGGGCTCAAACTGGATAATTGCATTAGAAAGAGAATAACTAAACAATGAATGCTGGACGGGAAATGGCACGCTCTTGTGAAGGTCATTATTGTACATCGACTGCATATGGGTAGGAAAATATTTAACAGAAATAATCTGGAGAAATGAGCTGTCAAAGGGATAACATGTTTAAGGCAATGACACATACAACCAAAATAGAAGCTTTCTGGGTTATCTTGAATACAACAGGAAACCCCCCCCCCCCCCCCCTCCTCTTCCTTCTTTTATAGCTGGCATGAACATGTAGGAAGTAACTAAAACCAAATCACTACAAAAGGATAACATACTTCAAAGGTATGGGTCATGACATAGTCAAGGTATGCCGGCATTGTTGAGCAGAAGCCTAGAAAACTTCATATGCAAGTGCAAAACATTAGAAACATTATTAGAAACATGGATATATTTGTCCTACCTAGCCATTTCCTTACTACAGAGAAAATTGATCAAACATTTCGAGGCTGTTGACATCCCACGGTTGATATTCCCTTAGCCCACTCTGCCCCTTCCACTACCGTTACAAAGAAGAGCTATTTGATGAAATTGAACAACTAAACAGTACATATTGTAGCAATGCCTCTGTGAAAGAGGGAATTTCGAGGAGCTTGTTCATACCAAAAAGTTTGATTACAAGTACTCTTTATACTAGATTCTTGGAATGCACCAAAACATTCTGAGACCCCTTTCATCAGTAGTCCAAAGGAGGCACTTCACTAGCTACCATGCATTTACATTGAATCGGGCATCATATACTAATTAACAGGTAAAAGAAAATTAAGCAGGAAAGGTGACTCGAGTTTAAGATATTAAAAATGGATTATAAATTTATAACATGAAAACAAGAACTGGACAATCCGGAGATGTGAACTTACTTTATAAAGTCTATAGTACTGCTGAGCTTGCCTTCTGCTTTTCCTAACTAAAACACGAGAATCTGGTCCCATTCCACTGCAAGCAAAAACAACAATGAAAAATAGTGGGTGAAAATGGAAAGTGGTAAACCACAAGGAAAAAAGTGAAACAAGTAAATCACAAACCCAAATTATAACAAAGCTTAGTACTCATATCTCAAGTGTTAATTTAATATCAAACGTATTAGCAACTGAAGTGTGAAACCTGTAATGCAAAACAGCCAATAAGCCCAGCGTTTTTTTGTCCTGATTCAAAGATTGTTTCAATTCCTCATAGCAAATTTTGCATATTCACACTTTTATCCGACTGTCCCACAGAATTTTGAAGGGTTCTCCTCATTGCATGATTTAAACCGCACAACACATGGCACAGCTTTTCTACCCGCTAACCAGTCATAAATGTTATACAGTAACAGTAATCATAACTCTTGTTCGTGACTTACTTTGCCTAGATTTTGGCAGGAGATTGCTGACATTGGGTTGCGATTGCTAGTCAGTTGTAATTTTAATCAAAACATTCTGCACAGTTTTCTCATAGTGGTACTCCAAAGCATTACATTTTGATCAAGAGATCCATTTACTGTAAGAGGAAGTTCATGAGTTTCAACAGTTAATTACATAATAATGTATTACACATTTTCAAAACCAAATGCAGAAACAGCCAACATGATACAAGTGAACCCTCTTTATAATGAAGCAAAACAATCACTCATGATTGACCAGGATTTAGAAGACATAAATCTACGTCAAATAGACAAATTGATGTTCATGTATGTCATATATTTTAGCAGCTACGTGTTATTGATGAATCTGATTCCAGTGTCTAAATAGTAGCAAATTGCATAGAAAAATACCTGTAAACTACTCCAATATCTGTTGTCATCAGCTGGATTTTTTGCACCTGCAACAAAAATTACTTGATGAAATTCTGTTCATTCTGAAAAGAGTGACGTTTCTACATGCTATCTAACCTAACCTAATCTAATCTAATACTATACTATTATAAAAGTGTGTTTAATGTTAAAACATTCCTTCTCAAAATGCCCTCCAATTTCTGTGTAAATGAAAATGTCATTTATATTATTATGGGCATTCATGTAATTTTTGTCTTCTTGATGTAAAACACTTGCATGCATGCACACATACATACACACACATAATATATACATAATTTAATAGCACTTATTTACCCATTTAATTTCTTTCATAACCGCTAGTTAAACCATTCACCCACTAAACCTATTTACTGATCCCCTTTAATCCTAAACTAAGGCACCCTTTCTCCGTCCTAAATGTAACATCCCTTCTATCCTTCCTTTATAAATCTCCATTCTCCATTGTTTTCATCCATAAGCCACCTAAACAGAAGTTCCTTTATAAATCTCCATTCTCCATTGTTTTCATCCATAAGCCACCTAAACAGAAGTTCCTTTATAAATCTCCATTCTCCATTGTTTTCATCCATAAGACACCTAAAGAAGAAGAAGAAGAAGAAACCGCACCTCACTAGCATGTATCCTACACCTCTTCCAAACTCAGATAGGATTAATGTCCCCCTGCCCAACAGCCGTTGGAGCACACAGATCTACAAGAAACACCGCTAAGAAGAAGAAGAAGAATGGACATCACTAGCATGTATCGTACACCTCTTCCAAACTCAGATAGGACTAATGTCCCCCTGCCCAACAGCCGCTGGAGCACACAGATCTACAAGAAGCACCGCTACATGTGGCTCTCAGCACTTTTGACACTGAACTCGACCCTGCCTGCGCCGGCACCTACAATGTTGCCGCCTCCCACCACTTATGTTTAAGCGATTATTGTTCTCGTGCTTCTTTTGGTATAAGTAATATCCTAATTGTAATATGTTTTCCCCCTCATATATTTTAGCTTATTCAACATGCAAATACGCTAAAAAGAAAAAAAGAAAAAAAGGAAAAAAAAACATCATAATGAGATGAGATCCTCTGGTGCGTTGCCAACCATTGTAACTTTGCGAACAAAGAAAAAGAGAAGCAACTTTTGAGAAGAAAAGGAAGAGGAAGAAAGAAGAAAGAGGGCAAAATAGCATGTCACTATCAATGAGTGATATATGTATCATTTTGTAAGTGAACAGATGTTAATCTTTATTTATGTAAAGGCATGAACATTGAAAGAATTAATAAAATGCCTCAAAAGTTTGTTTTATCTTCTAAATCAAAGAAATAATTGAGTAATAGATGCAAATAATCACGGTTATAAACTACTTCTGAACAAATTCTTAATTCAGTGACTCATATATGGTATTTTTTGATGTTTTTGTTGGTGATAATTTGTAATTGCAACATAGTCCCCAACAATTCCTATAATTGCTGAAGCTTCCCACTAAATCCAAAAAATTACAAAACAGTTCCTTTAAATCCAAAATATTTACAACACAGTCCAATAAATGTGTTGAAATTAAAAATGTACTCTATAAGATACTGAAATTGCAAGAAGCACTAAGGGCTAATCAAAGCCGCCTCCTGAAAAAAATTATTGATCTTGGTTCTATGTCGGCTGGTGATCCAGAAAAGGTTGTTGAAGAGTGTCCGAAAATGACACAACCTACTGGATATGTTTTCCACATAATGCTATGTTTTCTCTTCTATGTGATGCAACATCTTGTGAGTACATAAGTCTTCCATTTCTCATTTTCTTTATAGCATCACATTTTCTTTCCTTAATGAATGGTGCTTTACTCTATATGAAGTTGCTTTTTATAATTTCTATGTATTTCCTGTCATATTTTGGCTTCATGAATCACATATTTACTCATGATTCGTCTTCTTAACTCTTTTTCCTCTTCGAATCACTTCATGATTTTGTCAAAAAAATTCAGAATAAGGAACAATTATATTCACGTGCAACGCACGTGCACTATATTAGTCTAACACAAATACACGATTAATCAGTTAGCTAAGTGGGGGGAAGAAAACATATAATATTTCATTAGAAATGGAAATTAGAAGAGAAGATCCAAGGAAACCAGGTTAAACGATGCAGTCAAATAGAAATCAAGATATCCAACTTTCCAAGAGCATGACTGTTGTACAAAACCTGAAGCAGCAACCCTAAGAGCTGTAACTAATATTACTTACTAATAACAAAAAAAAAGAGAACAAATATAAGAAAACAACTTTTTCATCAGTGTCTCAGACAGCAAAGAAGAATGCTGATGATTCCAGATAAACAACTAATATAATCCTATTAAATATAGACTAGCATTAGGCCTAATACAGATTCTTTAAAATGTGACCTCATCAAAATCAGCTCAATTAAGCATAACAAATAAAATGTAATTCTTACAAAAATTGAAACTTCTTATGAGTACTAAAAAGGGTAGCCCAGTGCACGAGGCTCCCACCATTGTGGGATCTGGGGAGGGTCAGATGTACATAGCCTTAACCCCGTATTCGAAGAGGCTGTTTCTAGGATTTGAACCCATGACCTCTAGGTCACAAGGCAACAACCTCAACGTTGCGCCAAGGCTCACCCTCTTACTTATGAGTAATGAGAAGTATAAAATAAAAATCAAGAACAATACATTGCCATCATACGGCGTGCAGTTAGTTTCTATTACATATTTAAATACATATAATAGCAAGAACAGTAAACAGTAATATCTGAGCTTACAGATGTCTCATCAACTAAAATGGAAGGCAATTTCTTCTCAGTTGCAATGACAACACCGTTAGCAGCTGTCCGAAAAAAGAAAATATGATCATCCAAAAAAGATACTCAACATTAGTAACTTTTTACACAAAATAACACTGACATATTAATGAAAAGTATTTCATGATGGCCAACAGCTAATCAAGTTAATTACTTTAGCCACATGGTTGCTAGCTATGTCACTAGGAAATAATCCAGTGCAAGATCCTTTCACTCCAAATGGCAAATTATGTAGGATGGAACCACGCAATTAACACATTACTTTAACAAACAAATCGAATTTCACTTCTTTACTGACTACATAACTAGCACACAGTGCCAATCAAAATTCTCATAGAAGAAATAAGTATCTCGGACAATACAATACATAATAAAAGTTCAATTAAGGACCTGCAGTAATTACTCACCTACAATAATATGGGGGGTTTCCCCTAAAAACCACCTTCAAATAGTGTCCTTCTATAGAAACCACCTTCAATTTTCAATTTATATGTAAATCACCTTTAAATAGTATATTATTGCAATAAACCACTTGAACTAACTTTTAAAACATGTTTTTTTTTTTTGCCATCATAATTAATTGTCAAATACCAAGTATATTAGAGAGATGGTCCTTAGTGAAGTTTATGTGGGATCAATTACCCAAAAAATCAACTAAAAAGTGGGCCCAGGTGATTGATTGCAACAAAAACTCATCAAAGGTAGTTCACGTATAAATTGAAAATCAAATTTGGTTTCTATAGAATGACCCTATTTTGATGGTGGTTCCTCAGGAAAAAAAAACCAAATAATATGTATCAAACATGTAAGAGTAACATACAGCATTAATCTCAAACAGTGGAAGAACAGGAAGCTTTCAAACTCTCATTTAGAGATGATTTGTGGACACATATGCAAGTGTCATATTGCGACAAGAAACAAGTTCCCAGGCAACTCTCCAAGATTTACACAAAGTTTCAACAGTAGACATGTTAATTCGCAACATATGTTTATCTGCCATAAAAATGAATATTCGGTTTATCTACTCTAGAATTAATACTTAAATATTTTACCTGTGAACGTATCACAAGCATAAACTGTTTGCAAAATATATTCAGTCCAGAAATTTACTACAACTTCTAGTAGGAATTTTAGATATTAATTAAAATAGACTTCATCATTTAAACATACATTTTCTACTGGCTATATAGTAGAATAATTGTATCAGAATTCCATTATCCAGCTGAAGTTAATCAATTATAATCTGATTTTATAACTTAATTATTATGCATCATCATCAAAGCATCACATAACTAATAAATGGACTCCTAATCAGTTGCACAGTACGAGAAAGCCCAGGATACTCTTTTATCAAAGTCCTAATTTAGCTTTTCTTAGATACTCCTTTATCAACAACACTATCAGTCTTAAAACCATATTAGAACAAACAAACAGGGTGGTAGTTAATTTCAATTTTGCTTCTAACAGGGCAGAAGTTGCTAATTTCAATTTTGCTTTTTTCCTTCTATCCAAGAATGCACATAGATTTACAAGGTGGCAACAGGTTTAAAAGTAAATTAGTTGTAGTTTGTAGTAAATAGAGAAATTGATCTGCAGTCAGATCATACGTAGGATTTTGATCAGTGAATTTTCGTTTTGATGCATGGTAGCAGATCAGAGGTAAGATCGGGTTATCAAGAGCTTTTCTTTTCTTTTCTTGAAGGATGTGTTTTGGAGAAAGTGGGAGGGTGAGGCAGTGAAATTAGGTTAAGGGCTGAAGTTTGAGAGGAAGAACTTGAAGGTGGTGGTGATCAACATCATCAGCTCAATGACCAAGAAAAAAGATGTGCATTGAGCCCAAAGAGGAAGGAAAGGCGGGGATGCATGCCTACAATGTTACACACTATGTTTTCAGCAACCTTTGGTCCTTTACAATGCTCATGCTTATGTCACTTCAATTTTCCTTCAAAGGTGCCTTTCACACATGAACTTTGCATGTCTGAACACATGGACTAGATCAGAGACATGATATTAAGATTACTGATAATAAATGTGTATAATGCCAAAGAAGATGTTTACTTCTCTGATTAGGACTTTAGTAACTATCTTTACCTGTTTCAGCGAGAATTAAATGACAACTACGAAGGTGTCAACACAGGTCGTTATTGATGGAAACAAGACAACTCTTGCAGACTTTGCTATATGGAAGATCGGATAGTCTAATGAGCTAAAGAATGGAGTTTCCAAAAGCTAGTGAGGATCTATGAATATGCCAGCCGGGTCAAGTTTTCTCTCTCTTCTTTCCCTAGTCTTTGCTTAAGCCCCCCAAGGGAAGTCATAGAAATGGCACTTGAGCCAATGACTCTCCTCCACAGCATTGAGTTTTAGGATTAAGAAGAGAAGACATCTAGGTTTCGGAACCTTGACGTGACACCCTGTTATGTTGGGAAACCCCAGAGAGGGATAAGCAGATATCATCTATAGGAAAGCAAATGGGGTACAATTACATAACTTGCTAAATGAAACTAAAACAAACTTCTCTAACTTTTCCGATACACTAACTGCTCTAATAGAAAATGCTTTGATTCAAGCAGAGCAGATGAGAGTGTGGATGGCGTTCAGCAGTGATAATGATACTTACGCCAGCAACAAAGTTAGTCCTTCTCAAAGACTGCAGATGTGCACCTTAACAAACCAGTGCATTTTAATTAATTTAAGCTATGATGGGACCATAACTAGCTTGGCAAGGTAATTATGATGAATAGATGCTCCAAAATGCGGCTAATTTAATCAAAAAATACTCCATACTTATTCGAAAAAAATCTATTAAACTTTAATGTTTCGCATTGAGATCAAAATTGGGCACACTTGCACAATGATCCTTAGATCCATACAATTTACTGGAAACGAATTCATCGGTCCACGTACCTTTGATTCCAAGAGAAGTTTGCCCGGATCCAACGGCGGTGAGCGCGTGCTCGATCTGGACGAGCTTTCCCGATGGGCTGCCGACGGCGATGAGATCCAAGGAGAAGACGACGACGAGAACTAGGGTTACAACTCTGAGATAAGAGCAAAAGTGAGAGCTGAAGGGAGAAGAAATCGAACCTGAATGTGGTGAGAGAGAAAGAGTACTGGCTGTCTCCCATGGCTGGCTTGCTTTTTCTTTTTTTTTCTTTTTTTTTTAAATTAGGGTTTCTAAGAAGTTGAATGAGCGAGGGAAGAAAGGAGGAGTAGGGCTGTGCAATGGCTAGGTCGGTTCGGTTCATTCAAAACCGAAGCAAACCCATTTAAGTCGGTTCGGTTCGGATCGGTTTGTTTGGTTTTTACTCAAGTGTAAATGTTATGTCCAAATTCAATTTCACCTATGATCTGTTGACGAAGAAATAAGTCTTTTACACTTTATTTTATTGAAATTCATAAACTATTAAATGCTACTGAATATTAGATGTAGAAATCAAAATCTAATTCCTACCAAAGATTAAATAATTTTTTTAGAGAAAACTTACATAAAGAATTAAAGTGAAGTCTAATTCAAAAATGTATCAATCTAGAAGAAAAATCAGGAAAATATTAGAATAAATATTATGGTTTAAGTTTCTTACCTCCAAAGTGAAATGACCCTAGAGGGGTGAATAGGGTAATAAAACAATAAATGTGCAATAAATAAAATTCAATGCAACACAAGACACAAATTAAATGCTAAGGCAATAAATAAGGACGAATGTTAGAGAATAGTTATCCAAGATAACACGGCGATATGTTTACGAGGTCGGTCCTCCGACCTACGCCCCCGACCACCTCTCCTGATGGTAACTTCACTATCACACCTAGTTTGGAAGCCGGAACTTCTTCACAACGATCTCCTCATGAGATCTTACAATCCTTACAACGATCTCCTCGAGATCAATCTCACAACACAATCACAAGATGAAAATAAAAGAAAATCTCTCACAACAATCCTATAACAAGGATCAAGAGATAAATAATTCAAGCTTAGGAGTTTGTGAGATGTGGAATTGAGAAACCGAAAACTTTGAAACAATTGAGAATGAAAGTTTGAGCTCAAGAAGTTTGTGAGATGTGGAATTGAGAAACCGAAAACTTTGAAACAATTGAGAATGAAAGTTTGAGCTCAAGAACACTTAGAAACAAAACTTAGGGATTTTTAAAACTTTGAAACAATTGAGAATGAAAGTTTGAGCTCAAGAACACTTAGAAACAAAACTTAGGGATTTTTCTTTGTTTGCTTAATTATTGAAGTGAAGAGGGTCAAGGGGTATATATAGAAGGCCCAAACAATAGCCGAAATCCCAAACAAATCATAAAATCCCGGATTTTCCGCTCAAACAAAAACTAGCCGTTAACAGTGTTTGTAAGTCGACTTGTACTATGCATGAGTCGACTTATGAACTAGCCGTTACAGGCTATACAACTGATATGGGTCGACTTGATGAAGTCATAAGTTAACTCATCTTGCATAAGTCGACTTAATGGATTATGAGTCGACTGAGCAGACGTTTTCTACATTTTCCAGCACAGTTCATAAGTCAACTTATTACAGCTATGAGTCGACTTATAAACGTGCATAGGCAGTGTGCATGTATGAAATTAAAAATTTGAGTGCCTTTAAAAATAGAAAAAATCCATAAAATATGAAACTTTGGGAAATACTTATAAACATGATTTTGAACATGTTAGAAAAAGAATTTTTGAAAAATCATTTCCCAATTGTAAAAACTACTCATTTTTCAAAAATAGTCAAAAACATATTTTTATGAATGTGTGTGTGAACCCCATTAGCTTCAAATGTTATCTACTTAATAACTTGCATACATTAAGCTCTAGAGAGAAATAAAAATGTAAATATCTCACATATATGAATACAATTCTTCGGTCTTGATATTTGCTCATATGTTGATGAAGCTTCTCTTTTATACTGTGCTCTTGAAAGTTTGTCTTCATCAATATGTCTCCGCCTCCTTGGAAATCATCGTTGTAGCTCATATTCTGTCCAATCCTCCAATTGTTGGCACTATCTTGCTTGGCAAAATACAATCTACACAATATTACTCAATCAAGCAATTAGTACCAATAATGGTATTTGTAAATTATCATCAAAATAAGAGAACTAACAATCTCCCCCTTTTTTATGATGGTAAACTACCATTATTCAAGAGCATGAATAAAATAAAATTTTATAAGACTCTCCTGCTATCTATGTGCACATTTTTGGAGATTTCTCTCCCCTTTGTCAACATCAAAATGGGGTAAACAAGATAATATACATGTGTTAAAACCCACAAGATATTCCTTTAAGTGTTGGCCTACCCGTGTCACATTCCGCAAGTGTTTGGATTTACAACCTCTCCCTAGACATTACTACCAACCCACTCCTCTTGAAATTGACCCCGGTCTCTTCCAACTACTCCTCTAAGTATCCTTGTGTGTTTAAACATGTTTTGACTATGTATATCATAATATATGTAGATATGAAATTTATAGCTTAAAAACAAAAGCAAGCAAAAGGCATCAAAACAAGTATTCAAAGAATGCACATGCTCAATTCATTTCTTATACGATAAAAATCTTCTTCACTAAGGGGTTTGGTAAAGAAGTCCGCTAATTATGATTTTGTGTTAATGTAAACAAGAGAAACATCTTTCCTTTCTACATGATCACGTAAGAAGTGATGTCGTACATCTATATGTTTGGTTCTAGAATGCAAAACAGAGTTTTTTTTAAAATATTAATTGCACTAGTGTTATCACAAAATATATTTGTATCATGAAAGTGTAAATCAAAATCAACTAAATTTCGTTTTATCCATAAAAGTTATGCACAACACAAGCCGGCGGTAATGTACTCTGCTTCCGTAGTGGACAAGGTAACACAATTTTATTTTTTAGATGACCAAGAAACAAGTGAGTTACCCAAAAATTGACATGTTCTACTCGTACTCTTGCGGTCTACCTTATATCCGACAAAATCGGCATCACAATAACCACAAAGATCAAAAGAAGTGTTCTTAGGGTAAAATAAATCAAGTTCTATAGTGCCATTTATATATTTAATAATTCTTTTAACTAAATTTAGATGAGATTTTCTAGGAGAAGCTTGAAAACGTGCACATGCACAAACACTAAACATAATATCCGGCCTACTAGCGGTGAGATAAAGTAAACTACCTATCATACATCGATAAAGCTTTTGGTCTACCTTCTCACCACTCTCATCCAAGTCCAACTTAATGGTGATGCTCATAGGGGTTGGTGCATGTTTGGAGTTCTTCATTCCGAATTTATTGACCAACTCTCTCGTATATTTGCTTTGTGACACGAATATCCCATCATTAGTTTGTTTAACTTGGAGACCAGAAAAAAATATAAGCTCTCCGATCATGCTCATCTCAAATTGTTCTTGCATAACTTTAGAAAATTCCTTGCACAAAGATTCATTAGTGGCACCAAAAATAATACCATCAACATAAATTGAACCAAAATAAAATTATTTTTCCTTTTTCTAATAAATAGAGTATTATCAATTTTTCCTTTGAAAAACCATTATCAATAAGAAAACTTGAGAGGCGTGCATACCAAGCTTTAGGAGCTTGTTTTAACTCATACAAATCTTTTTGTACCCGATAAACATGATTAGGAAATAGTGGATCAATAAAACCGGAGGGTTGCTCAACATACACATCTTCTTCAATAAATCCATTCAAAAAAGCACTTTTAACATCCATTTGAAAAAATTTAAAAATAATAAGCTAGCAAAGGCTAAAAACATTCTAATTGACTCTAATCTTGCATCCGGTGCAAAAGTTTCATCATAATTGATGCCCTCCTCTTGATTGTATCCTTGGATAACTAAACAAATTTTTATTTTTAGTCACTATGCCAAATTTATCAAGTTTATTTCTAAAAATCCATTTTGTTCCATTAATATGAAAATCTTTAGGTCTAGGAACAAGTTTCCAAACATTATTTTTTTGAAAATTGTTTAATTTATTATGCATAGCTAAAACCTAAAATTCATCATTCAATGCCTCATCAACACGTTTAGGTTCAATTTGGGATAAGAAAGCTATATTACCACACTCGCTTATAGCCTTTGAGCAAGTTAAAACTCCTTTTGATGGGCTCCCTATAATTTGCTTCTTGGGATGATCTGGTGCAAATATCCATGCCTTGGAGAGTTCCTCTTGACTTTGTTCAAGGTTCCATTCTCCATCTTTTGGTACATCCGTTGAGGGTTTGTTATTTATTTGCATGAGTTTCAATCCTCCCTCAACATCACCATCATCCCTAGACACACTATCTAGCAAACCATCATTAGTTTCAATCAAAAGTAATGTTTATAGATTCTTCAACAACGAGTGTTCGTTTGTTGAAAACTCTATAAGCCTTACTCATTGATGCATATCCTAAAAACACACCAACAAAAATCTTTAAATCAAATTTGTTATGGTGATCTTTTGTGTTCAAAATAAAACATTTGCAGCTAAAAATCCGGAAATAGCTAAAATTTGGAGTTTTGCCAAAATAAAGTTCATAAGGTATTTTCTTGAAAATAGGTCTAATTAAAACATGATTTAAAATATAGGCAGTGTTGTCAACTTTCGCTCAAAAATATTTTGGCAAATCAAAAGCATAAATCATAGTACGTGTCATCTCTTGTATGGTATGAATTTTCCTTTCAACTACACCATTTTTTGTGGTGTTCTTAGAGCGAAAAATGTATATGTAATACCATGATAGTCACAAAAACTATTAAAAATTTATTTTGAAATTCACCACCATGATCACTTCGAATTTTTACAACTTTCAAATTCTTTTTATTTTTAATTCTTTTTACTAAATGAGAAAATTCTTCAAAATATTTATTTTTATTAGTAAGAAAAATAACCCATGTAATGCGTGAAAAATCATCAACAATAACAAACACATAATGCTTTCCTCCTAATGAAGCAACACGCATAGGACCAAATAAATCAAGATGAATCAATTATAAAGGTTTAGTGGTGAATACCTTATTTATGGATTTAAAAGAGTTTTTGATTTGTTTACCTTTGGTACATTCCTCACATTGTGAATCTTTAATGTATGTTATATTTGGTAGTCCTCTTACCAAGTTCTTCTTTGTTAGCTTTGAGATTAATCTCATGTGAGCATATCCAAGTCTTTTGTGCCAAATCCAAGGATCTTCATCCACCACAGCAAGACACTTCACATCTTAATCTAAAAGCTCATTCATCTC